TCACTTTCTCAGGTTTTGTTTGTCCTCCCCCCTCGCTGGCTCCCTTGCTCACTTTGGAGACATCATTTGGACCCTCCACACACCCCTTGGCGGGGGGGAGGTCTGTGTTGGGAAAGCTCACTGCTGGGAATCGGAGAACTAAGAGCTGTCTGGAAGGCTGGGTGGGCAGGAGAGGCAGTCAGGGGTCTGAGCGAGGGTTGGAGGCTGGGGAGAGAGGGAGATGGTGGTATGGAGGGGACAAGAGACCCACAGGGACCAGAGGTAGGTGGTGGAGAGGTGGGAGATGGTGTGGAGGGACCTTCTGGGGAGGGAGCTTGGCCTTGGACAGCAGGGCTGCTCGGTGTCCACCAGAATCTCCGGCCCTTGGTCATCCTCGGCTGGCAGCTCCAGTGCCTGCCCGTGAAAAACCAGCCACATTGCTGCCCGACACTTGCAGGCCTCTGCAGAGGGGCCTGGGGCTCCATCTACTTAGAGTTGAACCACCAGCCCTCCCTGGGCCCCGCTGCAGCTCCAGGGGAGACTTGGCAATGGTCATCCGTCTGTGGAAGGGCTTCACGAACCAAAGAGCTCAGAATCTGAGTAAGAAAGGTGTTTGCTTGTTTAAATGACACGGTTTTGGAAAAGCAGTTTCTCCTTCAATCCTCCCAACACCCCCTGAGGGGGTAAACCGAGGCCCAGCGGCAAGAATGCTGAGCTGGGGGGAAGGTGCTCTGTAACACACGCAGGCCCTGGAGCCCCTTGATGGGCAGAAGGGCGTGTTTCACATGGAATCCAACGGCTGCTACTGCCAGGGAGGCTGCCCACACCCTCTCTCCCACATGCCACATGAAGCCAGCTCGCTGCATCCGTCCTCTCAGTGCTCCAGATCAGCACTGTCCCCTGGCGCATTCTGTGGCAACGGAATCGTTCTAGATCTGCACTGCCAGGGACAGTAGCCACTCACCACACGTGGCTGGTGAGCAGCGCACCGTGGCTAGTGCACCTGAGGAAAGGGACCGATTTTAGTTAACTTTAATCTCAATTTAAATAGCCACAAATCGTGGTTGGACCTCATGCTGTAAAGGTACGAGTGCCCCAAAATTAATCTCTGAGCTGAAGGCAACTCCAATGAAAAGTCCAGGGTTTTTCATGGGTCTTAATGAGCTGATTCTAAAATTCATATGGAAAAATACTTACCAAGAACACCCAAGACAATTTTTAAAAGAACGAAAGAGAGGTTTTACCCTAATAAAAAACCATATACAACTAAAAGTCTGATGTTGGCAGAGGAATAAGCAAACAGATCCTCTAACCCTTAGCAGGGGGCTTCACAGGATCTTTATTCTTTCACTGAAATGTCCCAGGCCCCTAAAACAGGGCCTGGGATACAGCAGGTTTCAATAAACACTTGCTGAGTTCATGCAGGAGTTAGGCGGACTCTCAAGTGAATGGAGAAAGGACAGACTATTCGATAAACTGTTTGGAGACAACTGGCTAATTTATATAGAATAATAAAAGCTAGACCCCTCACTCACCTTGTACCATTCTCCAAAACAAATTCCAGGTTAAAGTCCTAAAGGGTATAAAACAAAACCATAAAAGTACTGGAGAAAATATTTTAAAACTATATTTATGACTTGGGGCAGATCCTTTTAAAGTATAATATGAAAAACTAAAGTAATAAAAAAAGAAAACACTAATGATTTAACTAAAATTAAAAACTTGTATAGCATGGTGACTATAGTTAGTAATACTATACTGTATCATATATTTGAAAGTTGCTAAGAGAGTAAATCTTAACAGTTCTCATCACAAGAAAAAAATTTGTAACTTATGTGTGGTGATTAATGTTAACTAGACTTATTGTGGTGATCATTTCCCAATATATACAAATATCCAATCTTTATGTTGTACACCTTAAACTAATATAATGTTATATGTCAATTAGTATATCTCAATTAAACAAATGCAAAAAAATTAAAAACTTCTGGTAGATGAGAAAGCATAAACAAAGTTAAAAGATATATAATTAAAAATCACTGAGTTGTACACTTTATAAGGATGAATTTTATGGTATGTGAATTATACCTCAAAAGGAAAAGTCAACAAAAAGAAAAAGACAAGTGATGGACAGGAAGAAAATATTTGTAATTACAAAGGATTGGTATCCACAATATACAAAGAACAACCAGTAAATCAAAACGACAAATAACCTAATAGAAAAGTGGGCAAAGAAAGTGAACAGGCCTTTTATGGAAGAGAAAACAGAAATGGCCCAAAGACACACATAGAGATGCTCCATCTTAGAAGCAAGCAGGAAAAGGCCAATCAAAACAACCAAGAGGCAATATTTCCACCCTTTGAGAGGGTGGGGGAGGTAACACCGAGTGCTCAGTGTGGGGAAACAGGAACTCAGATTCAGCTGTGGAGAGAGGAAATGGGGAGAGCCCTCTTCTAAAGAGTACACTGGGGGGCCGGCCCGGTGGCTTAGCGGTTAAGTGCACGCGCTCCGCTGCAGTGGCCCGGGGTTTGGATCCCGGTCGCGCACCGAGGCACCACTTGTCAAGCCATGCTGTGGCGGCGTCCCATATAAAGTGGAGGAAGATGGGCACAGATGTTAGCTCAGGGCCAGTCTTCCTCAGCAAAAAGAGGAGGATTGGCATGGATGTTAGCTCAGGGCTGATCTTCCTTACAAGAAAAAAAAAAAAGACTACACTGGCAGTTCCTATTTCAGTCAAAGCATGCCGACCTAAGCCCCGACAGCCCCACCTCTAGCTGTCTTCCCTAGAGACTCTCTTGGGAGCGTGTGTAAGGAACAGATCCACGCTCACTGTCCCATTGTTGGTAATCATGAAAAGGTGGAAGCCACTGGCCAGACAGATAATATGGATAGCCACACGTGGCCTGCTACGCAGCAGCAAGCAGAAACGAGGTGGTCCACGTGCTCTGACAAGGAAGATCCACAGAAAATTGCATGGCCATATCCAGTAAGACAACGTCCCCGACCCCCAGCCCAGACAATGTCAGCGAGGGCCGCAGAAACCACAGCTGACACTGGACAGGGCTCACCGAGCGCCGGGCACTGCTCCAAGCACTTTACACACGCACTCGTTTCCAACTCACCCCTGCCAGGCAGACACCATGGACCTCAGCCCCACTGCACAGATGAGGCCCTTGCTGCAGGAGGCTGCACTGCCCAAGGACATATAGAGAGCAGGCATAAGGGACAGGATTTGAACCCGGGCTGCCTGACCCCGGAGCAGGGTTCTGAACCACAGCTGTCCCGAGTTAAGAGCACAGACACATGCACAGAAAAAAAGTCTGGGAGGAGAGACTCCAGAACAACAGGCGTCAAGGAGATGTTATCCTAAGTGGAAGGCTTTCATTTCCTACAGAGAATGTGCTACACATGTAATTAAAACTAACAGAGCTAGAAAGAATCTATAGAGACGAAGGCTGGTTGGTTAAGGGAGACTGTTCTGGCCCCCACTTGTCCACTCAGCTGGGACTCCATCAAGATGCAACGTCTGCCAGGGACGAGATAAGCCTAGGCACTGGGGGCGTCCCCACGTTATCCCAGCCTCCCCCAGCAGGGCACGGGCCTGGGTCTAAGGTGATCCGGGAGCTGGCTGTGCCCAGAAGCAGGCGGCGGCAGACTTTTGGGACAGAGCTCAGGATGGGCTCAGTAGCACGTGACCCTCCCTGTCCAATGCACTGTTCTGGCCACAGCTTGCGTGGCAGTGGGACTGGTCCTGACGTGCAGCAGGCTCCAGGCAGATGGGAATCTCAGGAGAGAGCACCCTTGGCAGACGTGGGGACCAAGACTCTCAGTTCTTAGCTGATTGAGGACCAATGACCCACAGCCCCCTGGCTGCCCCTGCATGAACGTGCTGTTCCCAACACCCACCTTCTGAGACAGGCCTCTCAGAATCCCCCAGATAGCACTTCCATTGGCACCAGGGATGGCTCAAAAATGGCCCCCAGTCTCCCCCAGTCTAGGAGAAGACGGAGCAGGGAAGTATAGCAGATGTGTGTCAGTAACCACCAGGCAGGCTGGCCTCATCCCCTCCACGTCCCCAAGCCCAGAGGAGTCAGCATAAGGCCAGCGTCTGGTGACTCCAAATCCCGGAAGCCCCACGAATGGAAATGATGAGAAATCTGAGGTATAATAACCAGAGCCTGCCACCGTCCCCTCCAAGGGGGTACTCAGCCCTCCTCCCCGTCCGCTTGCTATTTCTGGCCACACTAAGAATAGTCTGCGTTAAATACCAGTCTCCCTCCTTAGATCTGCTCTCAGGACTGTCCGCACAGCACCTTCCCAGAACCCCTTAACGGACCCACTTCACACAGCTCCCAAATGGCCTTGCTGAGGCTTCTGCTAGCACTAGGTTTATCTGTGTCCTCCTCCCTGTGACGTGTGCCTGAGTCCAGCCTGCAGCTGCCCTGGGAGATCTCGCTCAGACATGGACCTGTCACGCCCTTGCTCAAAGACCTTCGTGCCCCTCATTACCCAGGGAAGAAAATCCAAACACCTAGCCTGACGTTCACAGCCAGTGCAGCATGGCCCAACACACCGAGCTAGCCTTCACACAACACGTTCCCTGAGCACCAACTGTGCCAGCTGCTGTTCTAGGTGCTGACAGGGCCCCAAACCTGGGCAGCTGACACCCTTCTCTCATGTTGCTTTATCACAGACGAGCCCCTCATTCTGTCACTACTGAGCCTATGAGCATCTGCTCTGCCCACGACAGGGCCCTTGGGAAGGGGCCAGCCCTGGGGACCGGGGGTCAGGCCGTCTGCTCATCGGGTTCCAGTCTCCCCTTACCAACAGCATTGGCTGTGCCAGGCGCTGCTGTAGGCACCATTTGTGCAGTGTCCTGCCCTTACACGCATTCACTTTTAACCTCCCAGCATGTGCAAAGGCACTGGGGCATGACAGGAAGGCCCCAGCTGAGGCCTGTGGGTGTCACTGCCCAACCTACTCTGTCCAGCAGGGCCAGCAGCTGGAGGCAGGCACTCACTTGTTGAAGAGGTTGAGGCCGATGCGATAGTGCCTCTTGCGAATGACGTCGTTGCTGAAGGCAGGAGAGTCCCAGCTGTTGCGGGTCTCCTTGTGGTAGGTCTGCTTGCTGAGCGTCTGCTCCCGCAGGCTGTCCCGGGACGACGACTCCGAGCTGCAGTTGATGGTGTCGTTGGAGTTGGACGTGCTGTTGATGCTGTCATTGTCCCCATCTGAGTAGTCCGACTCGGACTTGCTCTGCCTGTTGGCTGAGCCATTGATGGCCAGGTGGCTGTCAAGGGGCCTGGGGGGCCGGGGCCGCAATTCCGGCTCCTCCCGGGGGATGCCCTTGGGGGCCCCACTGTGGGAGCCGTGCTTGGGGCTGCCCTGCTGCCCGAGACTGCGCTCGTAGGCACTCTGCCTCTTGAGCGAGCCACGGTCCGAGCGGTCACTGAGGTCCACAGAGCTGTCGCTGGGCGGCTCGATAGTGAGCAGCGGGAGGTGTTCCACCCGCAGCCGCTGCTCCTGCTGCTCGAGCGACGGCGTGCTCCGGCAGCTCGTGTCTGTGTCCCCCTTGTCGCCCTTGTGGGCCAGGGCCCAGTAGTCCTGGGCGGCACCCCCAGCCCGTAGCTGCAGGTCCGACTCGGCACTGGATAGCTGGCGCCCTGCCTGGGAGAGGGGCAGAGGCGGCGACAGCTCCTCCTCGTCGATGTACAGGGTGACATCGCTGTACGAGGCTGTCATCTCATCCAGCTTGTGGTGATCCACGCCATGCAGGGCAGCCTTGGGCTCAGTGTCCCGGGCCCGCCCCGTGTCGGGGGCCGGTGCCTCCTCGGCATGCAGGCTGCGGCAGTTGAGGGCGTCGTCGATGGACTCAGCCAGTGATTTCACCTGCCGGGAGAAGGCGTCCTCCAGCTCCGTGATGGCATCCGCAAAGTCGCTGGATGGGGCTGGAGACTTGAGGGTGGGCGGCTCGCCAGGATCACCACACTCAGATGGCACCAGGGTCCCCAATTGAGAGCCATCATCTGTCACCGAGACCTGCTTGCCCTCGAAGTAGGAGCTGTGCACCTTCTCGGGCCCCTCAAAGGAGAACTGCATCCTCATGTTGGACAGCACGATCCGGCGCGACATGCGGTTCTCCGACATGGAGCTGCGCAGGCGCTCGAAGTTCTTGTTCATCTGGTACTGGCGGAAGGCCGTCTGGATGGTGCGGGCCGCATGGCGGGTCACAAGGCGTCCCCCATACTTCCGTTCTAGCATCTCCACCTGGAGTCGGAAGGAGAGGAGAGTGAAGGCAGCCCCGTGTGCTGGCACAGCGCGACACCGACCAATGTTCGTTCCCGCTCCCCAGCCCCTCAGTGGCACGATCTGGGAAGCCTCAGCATGTCCCAAAGTTAGTTAAAACAACCCCTGGGGCATGCTGGTGAGGCTGTGCAAACTATGGGTTCCAAGGTCAAATAAGATGGAGAAATACCACGTTAAAGTTAAAGCAAGTGTGCTCCCTGCAGGCTTCTCGGAAGCTTTAAAAGGTGGTAGTTTCCCAAACTTCTTTGGCCACAGGAGCCTTTGGCCCTGGCGCATGTTGTGGCATGCAGTTCAATGAAACTTTGGAGATGGTGGAAGAAGGGAAGGCAGCCCCTCCAGAGATGAGGAACCCGAGGCACGCGCAGGTTAAGAGACCCGCCAGAGAGCTCAGCAAGGTCCCAGGTGCTGAGCAGCGGCCGCAGGCTTCCAGCCTCGTTTCCGTTCTATGGCACCGACTCTCGGGACCTGGGAGAGTCACCGAGTCTCAGGGAGGCCTGGCCCTGGCCCTCGTGAGCTGTGTGACTTCTGAGCAAGCCTCAGAACCAGGCAGCTCCTTGGTTTCCTCGTCTGTAAAATGGGGACAGTACTCACACCCTCACGGGACCACGGTGAGCACTCGGTGAGAGGGACGCAGGGATGCTGGGGCTAGAAGCCCCTCAACTGCACTCTCGGAAGGTGTTTACAGTTGAGGGGGTCCCAAAGTCCCCTCCCTGTACAGATGGGGAAACTGAGGCAGAGAGAGTAGACCCAACACACACCCGGAGGCCTCCAGACTGTGGAGCGAGCTCTCTGGCACCACAGGTCCAGATGGCCCTTCTCCGTGAGTTGATGGGGGCAGGCCTGCAGGCAGGTGGGAGGGATTGGGTGAGCCTACTGGCACCTTGGGCCCCATGTCTCTCTGGTGTGACACGTGGGCCTCCTGTAGCTAACGCCAGCCCCCCGTGATCAAGGACAGCCCAGAGGGCTGCTCCCCATGTCTCGCTCCTGAGTGACAATAAACATACCCCTGCAGTTAGCTGGAGCCCGCTCTGTGGGAATCAAAGAAAATCCAAGAGACGGAACTGGCTTCTCAGCCAAGCCAGGGCTCCTGGGGGCCGGGCAGAGTGGGCACCTGATGTGGGGCCAAGAGAGGTCTCAGGTCCTTGGGGGTAAGGCACACTTGCACCAGGAGGCAAAGCATCACACCCCGCTTATCTAGGCCCACCTGCCTGCTCCATGCTGGGCATCACTCCAAAGCTGGCAGCAGAGAGAGAAAGGTCCCCGCCCTCAAGAAGCAGAGTCTGTCAAGCAGAACAGTCAGACGCACACATGTAACTGAAATAAAGCCAAACCGACACTGAGCAAATCCGGGCTGTGGCCCAAGTCGGGACAGAGGGTTGCTCAGAGCCACATCGAGGGCCAGGCAGCGCAGGCTGGAGCCTCACAGGCCCGAGTGTGGATCCTGGTCCTCACTTCCCTGTCGGTGGCCTGTTTACCGCTCTGGAAAGCAAGAGCGTGCCTGCCTCTGCGAGGGCACCCGTCTCAGGGACGCCAGCTCTCTGGGGCCCACAGCAGAGGGAGCGGCGCGGCTCTCTTCGAAGGAGAGGAGTGGGGAGCGGCTGGGGCTGTGTGTGGATCAAAATGACTTTTCAAAGCCCTGCCAGGCCCAGAGTCAGCCAGGGCGGGTCTGTTTTTTCTCTCGCCCTGAAGTTGCTGAACACCATCCAAAGAGATGACCTCACTTCCACATCTGTAAGCAGAGAGTTTCCGTTTTTTTGGGTTTTGAGCTCTAAAAGCCCATGGGGCCAATAAAGGGCCCAAAGCTGAGCTCCGGGAAGCCCTCTCCCTCTGCCCTCCCAGGCCTGTGGTCCTGGGTCCCTCATGTCAGCCTTAGGGGAGAGGTCACAATGCCAGGGCCACCAGCTCAGGCCCAGGGCTCACTCCAGAGCCTTTTCTCTCCTGCTGACTGTGGACCTTGAAAACAAGGCAGTGACCCTGTTTGCCTGAGACTGTCTCCCCGTATCTGAGGGGTAGGGAGGGGAAAGAAGAGGGACTTCAGGAAGGCGAAATGGGCCCTGTGTCTTGTCATCAAAGCCCCTCTCAGTCCCTCCTACCTGGCCTCCCCCAGGGGACACACACTGACCCCCACCTGGTCTTACTCATCCCCCAGACTCACTGTGGTCATTCCTCCTTCTGGGCCAGAACTGACTCAAGGCCCAGTCTGCAAGGTTACTGGGGTGCAGGGGAGGGAATCCAATCAGCACGTGCGACCTGCTGTGTGCCAGGGGCTGTGCTCACAGTGACGTCTAGGTGGCTGAGGGGCTCTATGAGGACAGAAGCTCAGAGAAGTGACGTGACAGGAGCTGACCCCTAGCCAAGGCTCTCCCATTAAGCCTTCACTCTCCCTTAAAAAAACTTTTTTTTTGAGGAAGATTGGCCCTGAGCTAACATCTGTTGACAGTCTTCCTCCTTTTTGTTCTTTTTTCTCCCCAAAGCCCCAGTACATAGTTGTATATCCTAGTTGTAGGTCCTTCTAGTTGCTCTATGTGGGACACCGCCTCAGCATGGCTTGACGAGCGGTGAGTAGGTCTGTGCTCAGGACCCGAACCGGCAAACCCGGGGCCGCCGAAACAGGAATGCACAAACTTAACTGCTACGCCACTGGGTTGGCCCCTCATTCTCCCTTTATTTTTTTATTTATTTTTTGTTTATTTTGTTTTTTTGTGAGAAAGATCAGCCCTGAGCTAACATCCATGCCCATCTTCCTCCACTTTATGTGGGATGCTGCCACAGCATGGCCCAACAAGCGGTGTGTCCGTGCGCGCCCGGGATCCGAACCCAGGCCACCAGCAGCGGAGCGCGCACACTTAACCGCTATGCCATGGAGTCAGCCCCCTCATTCTCCCTTTAAAGGTACACTTCTCAACAGCGGGGATGAGGAACCGATGGGAACACCCCTCCACAAAGCAGAACTGCTACTTCTGGACGACTCAGGTGTTCCACTCTCACTGACAGGAAACCACCAGAAGGTGCAGAGGCCCGGGGGCCAGAGGGAAAATGCACGACTTCCCACCAGGCTCCTTTCACTAAAACGGGACTGTGTGTCACCCAGACTCTAACTCCTCATGGAACTGGGCACCCTACTTTCACCTGGTAATTCTCATGTAACCTGTCCCATGCCCACTTTTGCCTTGATTGCCAGGAAGCTTGGTGCAGAGTTGAATGCTCAGTGGCACTCAACATCAACTCCTCTCTCATCTCTTTCCTACCTCTTTTCTGCCATTCTTTCCCCCAAGCTTGTTCTGCCTCAGGGTCTCTGCACCTGCTGTTACCTCTTCCAGGAAAGCCCCTTCTTCAAATACCCTGTTCTAACGCTACCTTAGAAAGGTCTTCTCCACCACCCATATCCAATGCTGTCATCTCCCACAGTCACTCGATTTCCTTCCCCTATTTCACAGTCTCTAGAGTTTGTATCACCTTCTGGAATTAAACTGTGTCTTTATCATTAACTTGTCCATGGTCCATCTGCTGGACCACAGCGCCAGCTCAAGAGCTGGGACCTCACGTTGTCCACCACTGACTCTCCAGTACCCAACAGTGTCTGGCGCATGGTGGCACTGCACTCATAAGCCAGGAAGGAGGATGAACAGCTGCAGCCATATCAAGGCTGTACGAAGCATACAATGATCTCCACAGGCCTCTCTCAAGTCTTACCCTTTCTCCCTTCCATCTTAGTGGTCCTCATGCAGATGTCTTTTACTATCAACTGTTTCTGATCCACTTTGGATCTGGTGTAAGTGATAAATGGAACAGAAGCTGTCCTCCCTTCCATGGGCCTGGCCATGGGGCCACAGGGGCCAGGGGCTATGTGCTCCCACAGCCTGACAAGGGGCCATTTGCTATCAGGCTCTGGCCACTTGCCAGCCCCCCTGTCAGTCCCAGCTCACAGGTAGAAGGATGAAGAGAGAGCAGGGCTGTCCAAAGTCGCAGGGCAGCAGAGAGAGGAGGGGGCTGGAAGGGGACTCTGTGCGGGGGAAGACCTCCCCCTGGGGCAGTACCTGCACTGCTCCCCAAAGAAGTCGGGGGCCACAGCAGCCCCAGACCTCTGCTCCACAAAAGACAAAGAGGAAAACTGGGGAGCAGGCAGAGGGCAGCAAGGCCAGGGGCAGACATGGGCAGTAGGGAGGGCAAGGCAACTCCTGCAGCCTCGTGTCTGAGGGGCTGCTAGAAAGGGTCCTGGGGCCAGGCCAGGGCAGAGGTGGCCACTTGGGACCCCAAGGAGACTGTCCGAAGCTCAGTGCCCAGGAGCTGTGCAAAGCCGGACAGACAAGCCTGGCCCTGCATGCTGCACAGCTGCTTCCTGGCAGCCTAGGGGTCCTCTGAAGCCTGCAGCCTTCCCTGAGAGCTCCACACAAGAATTCTTACTAAAGTGCCTACGATGTGCCTGCACTCTGAGGGGCTGAAAGGGAGAAATCTCTGCCCCCACCCACCACCCAGCCTGGACAGGCCTCTCCTCTCTCCCCTCAACCCCCAGAGCCGGCCTCCAGTCCTTCCTGGAGCCTGGCCAGGCTGTGCACCCTCCCTGCTCTGCACACAGGTACCAGCCCCAAGGTGGGTCTGGGCCAAGGCCGCTGGGGGAGGAAGCGCAGCTTTCAATGAGGCAATTTCCCGCGAGAACACGGAATTGTAAACCGCAGGGGCTATAATAAGCAACCGTGCCTGTGCTGGCTGTGGACGGGCTCGGTGTTCTACTCAGAGCGTGTGCTATTTATGCTGTAAACTGACCTCCCTCCCTCCTCCCCAGGGGCTCCTCGCACAGACTACTGTAGGTTCAGGCCTCTCCTGGGACCTCAGAATCTCAGCGGCTGGCCACGTAACCTGCGTTACGTGATCCCAGCCAGGAGTGCTGTGAACTGGGTAGAGGCAAAGGCCTGACAGGAAGAATGCGGACAGTCCACTCCCTTCACTCGGAATCCCTCCATGTGCCGGGAGGAGCAGGAGAGGGAGCTGGGCTGAGGTGAAGGCCATGTTCTTGGTGAGCGTGCACCTAATTCGTACCGCCATCCGTCAAGGAGCTCAGGACGCCAACATCCGAGAGCTGGGCGACTCCTGCTCCCTCGGGCACCAGCGCATTATTCCCGGGAGGACACGCGGCAGGCAGAGCAGCCCTGCTGCCTGTCCCTGTGCGGCCCAAGGGGCTGGCCCACCTACCTGCTTGTCCTGCAGGTCTGAGGAGAGCTCATAGCTCTCGGAGAGTGACCGTGAGCGTTTGATGGCCTCCTCCTCGGCCTGCTTGCGCAGGATGGAGGTTGAGTGCTGCAGCTTGGGCCTCCGCGTGCGCTGCTGCTGCCCCGGCGGCCCCGAGTACAGCCCATAAGCTCCCACCGACGTGTGCTCGTAGTGATCTGGGCTCAGGCTGGAGCCGGGCGCTAAGGGGCCCTGGTGGTAGGCCGACGGGCTGTCCAGCGACGTGCCGGTCTCGCTGCTGGAGGCCTCACCCTCGACGCTGCAGAGGAGACAGGGCAAGAGGCCTCCTGTGAGCAGGAAACCAGAACCCAGGGCCTGACATGGTGCCAGGAGGTGGGAGAGGTTAATGGCAAAAGGCAGCCTCACCAAATTCCAGGGGGACCCCACAACACCTGGTCTCCCTGTTGCCCCCTCACCCTCCTACAACTGATCCCCAAACGCAGCCAGAGGGACCCTCCGAAGACCCTCTCTCTGAACCTTCCTAAGCCTCACCTCCCTCAGATTGCGTTTTCTCTTCCAACAGCCGACACACTTTACTGATTGATTTTGCTTATTGTCTGTCTCCTGCATGAGGGCGTCAGCTCTGTGAGGACAGAGGCTTGGCCCATTGGTCCACTGATGACCCCAGTGCCCAGAGCAGGGCCTGGCACACAGCAGGCACTCAGTAATTATCTACCGAATGACCAAACGGGTTCTGTCACCTGCTCTCCCTCACTCTGCCACCTGGACTAAGTAAACCACTGAGTTTTGTACTTTTTTAAAAAAAACGTAATCAAGAAAAGTGACGCTTTATTGTACACCTACTCGGGGATCAGGCCTTGTGGTGTTTGTTATGGGCTGAATGCTCCACCTCCCAAATTCATAAATTGAAGCCCTCACTCCCAGTACCTCAGAGTGTGACTTCATTTGGAGACAGGGTATTTAAAGAGGTAATTAAGTTAAAAAGAGGCCTATAGGGCAGGCCCTATTCCAATATGACTGGTGTCCTTACGAGGAGATTAGGACACAGACACAAACAGAGGGACAACCACGTGAGGACACAGGGAGAAGGTGGCCATCTACACGCCAAGGAGAGAGGCCTCAGAAGGGTCCAACCCTGCCGGCACCTCGATCTCAGACTTCCAGCCTCTGGAACTGTGAGGAATAAATGTCTGTTGTTTAAGCCGCCCAGCCTGTGGCACTTGCTGTGGAAGGCTTGGAAACGAACACAGTGTTGTATACATCTTCTCTAACTCTTGAAACCAGTCTGCAAAGGAGGAATTAACCCTCTTTTTCCAGGTGAGGAAACTGAAGCCGATGACAGCAGAGGGCTAGCCCAAGGTAGCACAGGTAGTGAGTAGGGGAGCCGGGATTAACGCCCGAGCTGGCGGGACTCCTAAGACCGGGTGTTCCCCTCTACCTCACTGTCCCTCGTCCCAAGGATGCATACACATCCCCCTCAATGTGCCAAGTAGAAGCAGGGCCGACTAGGGGGACAGAGAGGGACTGGCTGACTTACTCATCCCAAACTCAAGGACTTAGAAGATGGACATCGGCTCCCCCCGCAGATTGGTTTTCAGTGTAGGACAAGGAGAGAAGTGAGAAATTTACGCAATGAGTTTCTAACAGCTTCTGGTAGCCTCTCCAGTCTTGCCTGCCATTTCCCTGTCCCCGTAGAATATCATTCAACCTTTAAAGGCCCTCTGATCCGTGGGGCCAGGGCAGGGGTCTCTCTGGAAGTGGCCCAGCAGAGAGAAGGGAACACAGACCCCACCCAGGCTGCAGGCCTTCCTCAATGGTCCTAGCTTCAGACCGTCGTGAATGCCTTGCATTCAACAGCCAATTGGTGTAACCCCTGCCCCAGCTCTGCTTCCGTGGCCCCACTTATCACAGGGCCTGGCAGGGCCTGGGTGCCAAGTGCAGAATGTGAGGCTGTTCACTGACTCTGGGGGAGGGACTCACGGTGGGGGCAGGGAAGGAGGCCCTGGAGCAGAGAGGCCAGGAGAAGCCGCAGACCCAGGGGCGGGAAGCGGCCTGCCCTCTGATTCCAGTTTTGCCCTGAGCCAGGGACAACAGGATGCAAATCCCCGCATTTGCTTTCCCACTTGTGGTTTAAGGAGAGGACAGGACTTCAGCTCCACCAAATGGCTCTGGCCTCCAGGGACAGGCAGTGGGTCTCCTGTCCTGTGACAAAGGACATGCCATCCTGCTCCCCAGAGGTTAAAGTGTGACAAAGGTTCTTCCTTGGGGAAGAGCCCTGGGGTAGGAATTAAGAGACCTGGTGCTTTGCCTTGACCTGGTTCTGAATCAGGGTGGTCATCCCTCATTCCAAGGCCTGTCTCCCCATCTGTACTACAAATGGGCCAGACGATACGTTCTCAAGATTCTCCTGACATCACAGTCTCCACCAGCAGCTTCCTCTGGGCCTCATGTGTATGTGTTGGGTGCGGGAGACGGATGGGGACTGGCACAGCTTAAAACTCTCCCATTCTTTTGATAAAGCCTCCAACAGTGCCCCCCAATAAATCCTCGGCATCTCGATCAATAGTTGTATGGAAGAGTGAAGGAATCCCCGGATCAGACCTGCAGGCGATCGACCACCAGCTTACAGATGAGCAAACAGGCTTCCCAGGAAACACCCGTCCACAGCCGTGGGACCCAGAGCCCATGCTCCTCCCCGTCTCCCTCCCCTGTGAGCATCCCACAAGGAGGCACGTCCACACACCCCCATACTGGAAATGTTTCAGTCAGGGCCCAATCTGTTTTTCCGAGCAAGAGGCTGACAGGAAACAAAATATCGTCCTTAAAGAGAGGCAGTGGGGCTCTGCTCACAAGGATTTTACACAGTCTTGCAACCCTGAGTCTGCAGCAACACTGGGAGACTGAGGGTGGTTTCCGGACCCTCAGGCCCCTGGGCGAGAAGCCCACTGAACTCAAGAGCTGTACCCTGCTCTGTAGCTGACAAGAGCCTAGCTGCCTGCATGGCTGGGCTCATGGGCAGGATGTTAGTGTATGTGTCACCACCGTCGAGGGAGGCTTTGGGCCCAGGAGAGGGGTGCTCTTTGGGATAAGACAGGGATAGAGCTGGTTGGAGGAAGGCAAGAACTTTCTGGAGCTGTGCCAGCCCAGGATTCCTGCTCAGGGCATTAGCTGGCTGCCATGGCCAGCAGGTTCCAGAACAGAGTGAGTAAGGGGAAAACGAGAAGAGGCATCTTGGGAGAGAGGGCCTCCTCTCAAGAAGGGAAGGCATCTGACAGTCACCCACAGCCTTTCCCTTCACCATGAGGCAACTCCAGCTTCCTGTCTCCTATCAGCCCGACCTTCCACACACACCCAGGCCTTGCCCACTTCTCAGCAGGTAGTCCAGGCCACCATCACTGCTCCCTGGACTGTCACAACAGCTTCCTCACTGGTCCCCCTGCCTCTTTTCCCCCCACAGCAGTCAGAGCAATCCTGATAAAACATAAGCCAGATTAAATGCCTCCTCTGCTCCCCATCACACTTGAAAGACACTATCATTGCAACGTCCTTCAAGGGCTGACCTCAGCTGACCTCATCTTGACTCCTTTTCCCCTTACTCCTTCTGTTCCATTCTGTTCCTGGCTTCCTCCCTCTCTTTTCAAAGGAGTCAGGCTGTTCCTGCCTCAGGGCCTTTGGACTGGCTGTTCCTTCTGCCTGGAATGCTCTTCCCCAGATCTCTGCATGGACTACACCTTCACTTCCTTCAGGTCTTTACTCAACGCCATCTTCTAAAGAGGCCTACCCTGCTCATCTGATTTAAAACCACACCCTCCTCCCCCCAGCATTCCTAAACTTTTTCTCTCTTTTTTCCTCCATGATGATCACCATCTTGTAACACAATGAGTAACATATTTATCATGCGTTTGGTTTGTTGTCTATCTCCCACATCAGTATATAAGCTCTAAAAGGGCAGGGATAATTTGTCTGTTTTGCTTACTGATGTGCCCCAGGTGCCAACACATGTGCCTGAACAACAGTAAACACTTGCTGAATGAGTGAAGGCATTTCCCCTTGCCTGCTGTGTGCCGGGTCCAGGAACAAGGTTTCTGCACTTACACCATCCCTGGCCGGGGCCGGACACCCTACGTGCCCCCAAACCCAACTTATTATCTTTCGGCATCACCACACAGTGACCCGAACCAGGGTCCTGGGCGTCATCACTTTAGTCTGTCCCCTACAGCCAACACCTCCCTACCGCCCCCATTCAATCTGTCCCAAGTCCTGTCGAGTCTAAGTGAATGGTGTCCCCTTGAGTTTGCAACGTGGCAGCGCTTCCACACCCAAACAATCAAAACCAACCTCAGACCACCCCAATAAGAAAAGAAATGGCCAGGCCATCCTACTGCAGCCAGCATGCCGCCACTGGGTTTCCTCCACTACAGAAGCTCAGCATCACGCATGCATGGAGCTTAAGAACGCATCCTGAGCCACAGAACATCACTTCTGGATGGTCCCAACCAGAAGCTATACTGTACTAGACACTAGAAGAGAGTCTTTCCTCAGCCCTAGCCAAACAACTGGTTAACAGACAGATAACTCTTTTTAAGAGAAAATGCCCAGAGTTGACAAGCATGTGCAGCAACAGGGCTCTCAGGAGCATAACTCGGTATACCTTTTTCAGAGTACCAGCTACAAACAGTCAACAAACTTCAATCACGTAGATGCTTGACCATTCTCTGGCTAAACCCATAAAGACATTTTACTTATAGCAACACCCTGAAACTCAAGGATCTAAGCCCCTCCATCCCGAATGGTACTCAGTGCTGCCCCCAGTTTCTTCCTGGGGGAGAAAGAACTGTCAAATGTGGGTAGAACAGTCATCTTTTCCCTCCCCATAAGCAAGATCCCCGCAGCAGAAGGGCCCACGCCCTAGTGACACAGATCTTTGCTTTAAAATGAGGTTCACACTTGACCCGAGTACCTGAACCTCTAGGGGGACTTTTGGGTCAGGGAACAGGTAGGCCCAGCCCCCACACCCCTGCTGCCCCCATTGCCTCTTCCCTCCTGAGCCTCGAGGCCGGCAGCCCGCCCTGCACACCACTTCTCCACCACGGCGATGCCCGGACTGGAGCTCAGCATCTCGTCACCTAGGTCAGCTCCCTTGGGGAAGCTTCTCCCACAATGCGCATCCATCAGCCAGGACTGAACACCCTGGAGTCCGTCCTCAACTGCACGCTGGAATTCATGATCTCTCTCACAGACTCCTGGGCCACATGCAAATTAAAGAATGGGGGGGGGCACCTCTTACAAGTCCCTGCC